TTGCTTTATTTTCCTTTCCAGATGAGAAAACGTTTGCTTGTGGGTTGCCCCCCCCCCCCCCCCCCCCCCCCCCCCCTTCGGTGTTCTGCTCCAAAGTTCACTTAGGAGAAGCGGGGCGATTTTTCGTGCAGCCTTTTCCTCCCGTGGGTCAGCTGTAGCAGGAAGCATTGCTGTGGTTCAGGCTGCCACAGCACACGGAGGGATGTTGAAGGTAGGGCCTGGGGACAGTGGGGGATTCTGTGCTCGCCGTGCTTCCGACACCAGAGGTTATTTTTGCGGCGGAGGCCAGGCCGGTAAAGAGGGCCGTGTTTCCAGCCGGGGTACTCAAGAGGTGCCCCTGAAGAGTGTATGCCCCAGCAAGTGCCCCCAGCAGGCTGGCAGAGCTGCTGTATTTATTTTTACAAGGAAGACTGTCCAACAGGCTGAAGTATTTATTTTTAAACCGACATGGAGGGGGTTTGCCAGCGGTCGGGCACAGGCTGAGCCTGGCACACGCAGCAGGGACTGACAGCGGCACGGATGCCAAGCACCGCACCCTGTGGCACCTGCTTTGGCTATGGAACCCCCATCCTCCCTGCACCAGCAGGCAGACTTCAGCCCATCATCCCTGTGCTAAATGCTCAGTCGTGTAATTTTCCCTTCAAGAGTGGAGACTTTCTTTGTGACTCTAGTAGGAGCTTTCAGTTTTGCATGTTATACATGGATGGGCCTTACAATTTCTTCTGCGGGCACATCTGGCAACAGCCATATCCCCTAACACCCCTAGAGATGGTCTGTCTGCCCTTCTCACAGCAGCCCACAGGAGACTCCCTCTTCTTCCCCTGTCTACACTGTACTTGGATGTTTCCCCCACCCCCTTTCATAGCTGCCTTTAAAGACAGGCAAAACAGGCAGTTGCCCACAGTCTTCTTCCGTGGGTTCCTGTGTAAACTTTGCAGCTCTGTTTTCCCTGGACTCGTAGCCCTGTCATCACCACCCCCTTCCTGACCTTCTAACACCCCCCTCGAAAGCAGCCGTACTTTCGGTCTCTTCTCTTACCACAGAGGCTCTAATGGCCTGAACCAACCCTCCCCCCCCTCAGTTTATCTCTTCTCTTTCTCTGCTGCAGCCTGCTCATGGAGTGATGGACAAGCTAAAGGTTGAGAAAATACAGTAAAATGCCTTTCTTATCCTGTAATGACCAAGGGGGAGGACACAGCCTGATAAAAATGACAAGCCAGAAGAATTGAGAGCCAGACCCTTCACCTGCCTGTCCCTCAGCAGACAGAAAACTCTTGATAGACCTGCCATGACTGCAAATGCTGCAAGCCTGGAAAGAAAGGAATTAAGTACTGAGCCAACTAGATCTACAAGTTTCTGGCCAAAGAAGTGTCTTTCTGCTACCTGTGAAGAGACTAATTCAGAGACTTATAGCAGAAAATCCTGAAGTGGGCTGAGCGTCAGGAGCTAATGGAAAACACCTCTATAGCCTTGCATTTTATGGCCGGGGGCTTTGCTTAGCATCTGGCATCTGCGTAGTCCCACTGCAGTGATGGAGGCTCACATGACATATATATCCAGCTGCTCACTTGGGCCTATCTCTATTTTCAACAAGCTACTTTACTCTTCTGTTTTTATTGGCGTGATTTTTGACAGCAATGACTAGTGCTGGATCAGCCATTTCCTGCTGGTGAGTGACCAGGAGGCAAACATTTCATTTGCTAAAGTGCCCCAAAGGCGGTCTAAGCTGCTCTGCAACAAAACACCGCTAGACCTGTGACACGGTGTGCTGCGAACAAAGCTCCATCCACCTCCCGCTTAAATAAATCCAAGCTGAAGAGAGACCGATGGGGGAGATTACAGGCGTAAGGCTTGCCATATTCCTATGTCTGCTTGCAGTAAGCAGCACAGAAACTTCCATGGATTTTCTGCTCTCCTTCCTTGCCCCTGAGTCCAGATGGTGACCGAAGGAGGGCACTTTCTGCCCCTTTAGGTCTGCACTGCTCAGCTTCCTGCCACTCTTGTGCCTGCCTCCAGTCCTGTCTGTCCAAATACCTCTTTCATCTCAGGTCTTCAGGTTCTCTAGCTGGCAGGTGGGGTAGCACAAGCAAATCATGTCCGTCTGGCAGTCTCTGTATGAAAACACGGCCCGGAGCCGGATGCAGCTACCGTATGGTTTGGGGAAGGGGGGGCTGGGGGACCTGTGTTGTGTCTCTGCCGGGTGGCTTGGGCTTGACTCCACAGCGTGTTAGCCCCCTGGATCAAACTGCCCTTTGCACCATGCTGTGAAGACATTTCAGACACCCCTCGTAATTGTACTCCAGGCTGAGTGACGCGAAACATCCCCCCTCCACGCACATTCCAGATTAAAACCTCACATGAAACACAGGTATCCCCAGTTCTTTTTAACAGAAAAAAAAAGGGGAGGAAAAAACCCACAATTAAAACAAGTTTAAAAATTTAAATCCATACTATGTTCTGAAAGAGACAGGCAAGGAAGCATTATATGCAATGTATTTGCCAACAAATGTGAGCAGGGAGCCAAGGTACTGAGGGTGATGGAAAGGACTGGCAACAAAATCCTTGAAATGTTACTGCAGATGCTAACAGCTGAGTCGCAGTGAAGCCAAATTTACCTGAAGTTTTGGGGATATCTGAATGGATTGATCTTTCTTAATGGCAGCAATTCAGCCTAAATCCCTCCTTCTTTGCAGACCTGGATTTAGGTGGGGATGCAGTCTGGTTTTGTCAATTTGCACCTTTCTCTGAAATAAGGTACATTCTAAGGAAGAGTTGATCCCCAGCCATAAAGCAGACTGGCCCTCCTCCTGTCTGACTCTAAGGCCCTAAAAATGGTTAAAGCCCATCTACTGCCAGAGGACTCTTGGGAAGCTGCAGTCACCACACGTGGCAATGCCCTGTTCAAGCAGGGATCCAGGGAAGGCTACGCCAATGGAGTCGGGCGTCTCCATGCAGTTCAGGTTCACATTTAAGCATATGTGATCAGGACAGGAGAGATTCTGCTATCTGACCAACTCCGAGATGGATACCTTCAGCAGAAGTGGAGTCAGTAGGCTAGTCACAAATGCGAACGTAGCCCTGTAGGATCAAGTTTCATCTTTCTGAGGGCTCCGTCTGAAGATCACCTCAGACCTGTACAATTTTAAACCCCCAGTGATTTCTGTGCTGTAATCCCGAACATCATCGCTCACTGGTGGCTCCAGACACTGGGCCACATCATGTCACAGTTCCTGATGCAAAGTAGGTAAATGGCCAAGCGCACAACAGGCTTTTCCTAGGAA